AGCTCTGTTGTGTTTCTTAAAGCCGCAGAAGTAACATGTCTGATTGAGTGAACACGCTATATTTTCTTGAGATAGATACGATTCTGGCTCGGCAGCAGAAGGTGTTGGATCAGGACTGGACAAGTATGGATTCTTTTCAGTGATAGATTTTGAGGCAACAGCGTTGATTGTTGGTAAGCACTTGTCTAAGTTGTACTGTTCAGAGTGATATTTAGCAAGTTCGAGTGATCTGGCTTGAGAAACTGCTTCATCTAAAGACAAAGTAGAGCTTTCCAACAACCGTTGACGAATGTGAGGTACTAGCAAGCCATCAATGAATGTGTCTCTGATATATTCATCTCTACTTGATACAGCATTGACAGCTTTAAAGTTACAATCTTTGGAAAGTCGCTTCAGAGATTCTACGTATGTATCAATGCACTCACCAGACTCTTGTCTTCTGATTCTTAGTTTATGACGTGCATAAATTTCATTGACAGGTTTCAAGTACAACTTTTTCAACACATCAATTGCTTGTTTGTATGTTTCACAGTCATTTCATATTCATAAACGGATGGTGAAATGAAATTGGTTAATACTTTAAGCCTCAATTCTTCACTGATTTTACTAGCTTCGATGAAGTTTTCAAAAGTATGGTACCAATGTTTCCAATCTTGACTTGCATTGACTTCATTAGGATTGACATTAAATCTTTCAGGTCTAAGAATTCGTTCCATGAAAAAGATAGATGTATATTTTAATAAAATATTCTATGTCCAATAAATAAATTGTTGTAGATTGAATGAATAAACCAAATTACCTTTAGTTAGGCTTTTAGTACAGGTAAAATAGGGTTTTATAAACAACAAAATTTGTACATTCATGAAATTTCACCTGTGAGTTACTAATAATATGAGAAATGAAGATCCGATGAGTCCCCAAAATTTTGGGCGTCCTAAGGCCCTTTTTGGGGCCCTTTTTGTTCCGAAGGGCCCTTGTTCCTGAATAATTTTGTTTTTACGTTTAAGGACGAGTGAGGTGTGGTTTTCGATGGTTTTGGTTATTTTAAATCGATTGGGACTATTTTTAAGTGTATTAAACCACTCCATACAGGGTGTTTTGAAATATTATTACTTTTTACGATATTTAAACATCTATATAAATAAAATTAGAGTTTTGTCTGTACATTGCTTAGAATAATGAACTTTTTGGTTATTTTTACATTTCATAGGTCAGAGAAACCGAATCAAACCTTATCTCAATTTCTGTCTGTCTGTCTGTCTGTCTATCTGTCATTCTCTTGGTAACGCTAAAATACGCACTTTATTACAACTACTCCTCAATAACTATAGCACTGTCCCGCCTGAAACTTATTTTCCAAATACTATACATATATGAGATGGTTTTAGACGTATTTCATCGAATATGAGACAGTTAGATATTTAACAGTAAACCCTTGAAAATCAAGTTTTTGTCGATTTTTGACGTGGAATTTCTGGAAGCCCATGTTAACCTTATGAGAAATGAAATTATTGAATCTTAACAGCTGTTTCAATTAAACAAGTTGGTTCTGTTCTGTGATGTTCAATAGCATTAAAGTTACAAGGATTACCAACAGGGTGCAGCACTAGCACTATTATTTCTTTTACATTTATGACAACAGCTAATTTGCAACCTGGAGGCGAGTGAGCGTAGCGAACGAGCTAACCTGAAGGCAAGTGAGCGTAGCGAACGAGCTAACCTGAAGGAAAGTGAGCGCAGCGAACGAGCTCCAACATACAGGTGAGTGAGCGTAGCGAACGAACTTCAACCAGGACGTGATTGAGCCATGCAAACGAGATCAGATAGTAAAAATAAAAGTAAGCCTACCGTTATAGGATCGACCGGCAGACACAGAGGTAATTTAACCTTTTATTGATTGTCATACCGATCCGGAACAACAAAAAACAACATAAAATGAAGCTATGTATAATAGTTTGGCCAGCATATCTTAAAATATGCAAACCAACTGCTGTTCGTTATATAAGAAGGTTTCAACTGAATATTATAAGATCCCCGTGCGTAGAACGGGTACACAGCTAGTTTATTCATAAAGTAATAAAATTAGTTACCTCCATGCTCTATATAAAAGGGGATTATTGAAAATAAATGTAATTCTTTACTACGTAAGGGGAAAGGATCACAAGGAGTAAGAGAAAATATTAAATACCCCCGTCACAGCAAACCTGCAGACCTAGCGAATTTCCGTTTTACTTACTTGATTTTCAATTAAATCTAAAATAGCATTGCGTTTAACGATTACCTAGGTTTGCTGCTACAAGGAGACTAATAAAGTGTGTTTATAGTAAAATATTAATAGCCTAGTATAAAACAAATAATTTTGACAAGTTTGGTCAAAGTATATCTATTACAAACAAACAAAATCATTTTACACTATTCTCCTTAAGAATAACATGGGAATTTTAAATTTACAATTTTAGTATTTTTATCCGTAACTAATAACCATACAAAAACACGTTAATATACTAAATTATTTGTTTTTAAGCTATTTAAAATGTTCTAGAGAAAAATTGGGAAACTTTGTGTTTTGAGGGTAAAGTAAATAAGAAAACCCAATTTTTACCCCATAAATCTCGTTCCCATTGTTCAGGACAAAAATGCTTGTACCGACAATGCTGCTCTGATGTCTTAGTGCTGTCCTGTTCGTCATAACCACGAAAGATAACCGTACTTGTATTGATTGAAAATAAGTTTGAGGAACTTATGATACAAGTTGCAAACGTCAGTATGTATGAAAGGTGTTTTTGCACCAAATTGTTCGTGCTTTAAGATTGGTGTTGCCTGTTCTGCAATATGCAAGGTTTTAGGTTTGTAAAGAGGAATCCTGCTTGAACACCAACTTGGACAAAATCAGTAAATATGGACAAGTTGCTAAGAATAATAAAATTGTTAATGAGTCGTTTGAGAATAATTATTGTGATGATGAAATTGTAAAGAGAGATACTACGGAAATTGTAGAAAAATAGTTTAGTTTAAGTACTTCATTTTAATATGTAATGTAAGGTTTTATACAAATACAATTGTTTTAATTTTTAATAAATGTAAAAAAATAACTTAAATAGCTACCTAAGAAAAATACATATCAATTTGAAATTGGTCTTAATAGATTTGCATAAAAACACGTTGAAAGATTATTCACACCACCTTAAAAGTTGATTTGTTTGCTTAGTAACCTATGTTATTATGTTATAGTGTAAAACTTAATCCATCCCCTTTTAGCGAACATCCCAAATAGGAGATAAGCTATTACTGATGGTAAAACATAGGCCCGAAACCGATTTACGTTTTCATTTCGATGCCCCCAGAAGCCTAAGGCACCATCCACTAAAAATATTATATATTCACATATATAATATAATATATCCATGTTATATACGTGTCCGTAAACATGATAACTCGAGTAATTTTGGTTCAATTTTAACGAAACCGGCATAATCGGTCCGTGGAACAGGGTTTTATGTGGTAAAAATTTGTAATCTTTGACCCTCAAAAGGCAAATTTTCCCAATTTCTCTCTAGAGCATTTTAAAGAGTTTAAAGAAAACAAATAATTTAGTATATTAACGCGTTTTGTAAGTGTATTAGTTACGAATAAAGTTCAAAAATTGTAAATTTAAAATTCCATGTTATTCTTAAGGAGAATAGTGTAAAATGATTTTGTTTGTTTGTTTATAGATATGTCTTAATAAAACTTGTCAAATTTATTTGTTTTATACAAGGCTGTTAATATTTTACTATACTGCAAACACACTTTATTAGCCTCCTTGTAGCAGCAAACCTAAGTATTCATTAAACTCGATGCTATTTTAGATTTAATTGAAAATCGGGCAAATGAAAATTTGCTTAGTCTGCAGGTTTGCTGTGACGGGGGTATTTAATATTTTCTCTTACTCCTTGTGATCCTTCCCTCTTATATAGGAAAGAATTACAGTTATTTTCTATAATCCCCTTTTATATAGAGCATGGAGGTAACTAATTTTATCACTTTTTGAATAAATGTTTAAATATCGTAAAAAGTAATAATATTTCGAAACACCCTGTATGGAGTGGTTTAACACACTTAAAACTAGTCCCAATTGATTTAAAATAACTAAAACCATCGAAAACCACACCTCACTCGACCTTAAATGTAAAAACATAATTATTCAGGAACAAGGGCCCTTCGGAACAAAAAGGGCCCCAAAAAGGGCCTTAGGACGCCCAAAATTTTGGGGACTCATCGGATCTTCATTTCTCATGTTATTAGTAACTCACAGGTGAAATTTCATGAATGTACAAATTTTGTTGTTTATATGGAGTGTTTTTGTATTATTTTACCTGTACTATTTATTGAACATAGAATCTAGCATGATAGAGAATTAACAATATGAAACAAACTAACATCATAGTAAACAAAAACAACTTCTAAACATTTGAACAGATGTCACAATGTACAGATAGAAAGGAATTATATGACAGGTAGTTTTTTGTGTAAAATCCCAGATAGGCAAGATTACACATTCCTTCCACCACCCGACTAAAAGCTATGTGTACCAAAATGCTGTATAGGTACAGGGTGGCTATGAAAAGTAACTTGCACACCCCCCTTTTCTTAACTTTTCAACCATTTGAGATATTTGAAATCGGTTTGCGGCAACCTTCTTAGATACGAGGGGCTACAATTATGATGGTTAATTTTGAAAATTTTGTCCTTAGGGGAGTAGTGGGGGTAGCTCAAAATTTTCAAATGGGAAGTATAGTCGACTTTCATATAATTTTACAGGTCCTGAGAAAACTAAACAATTGACATAAATAAAATAGATATCAGACCACTATTAACAAAATGGAAGCTAAAAATGTTTAAGACGCCGATTATTAAAAGTAATTTTAGCTGCCATTTGTATTGGCTGCTGTACAAACTCTTTAATAACTACCAAGGCCTCCACAAACAATGGTTCCCACTAACTGGTGATAATATTGCAGATCACACTGCACCTGTGACGCACTGCTACAACAATGTCTCAAGTCTTCACACAACCCTCTGGCAGACATCATGGGTAACATCTACTTCAACCTGCTAAAAGTCCCGTGTGTGCGGCAGAGCAAAGAACGCAGTGTGTTTCAACCAGCCGAGAGATACTCATGAATCTTCCTGTGTCAAGATATACTGTGTAGGGGGGGGGGGGTTAGTTTACACCCTTCACTATCTAGGGAAACATCACAACTGGGCAGTGCCGGATTTACCACTAGGCCGGCCTAGGGCCGCAACATTTTATCAAAATTATTTTTTTAAACAAAGATTGAATTTTAAGTTTTTAAAAATTAACAATTTTCTGTTATTGCCTACGATGATGATCTCCATGAGATTGTGGCAAATGTTCTTGTTACCACCACGGCCGCAGGTGGCAATGGTGACGTCACTACAGTCACAGGGTAGTTTCATCTGATTGGCGTGGACTGCTCGGGTTAATTTGACCCAGGGTCGCAAGTAGGCCTACTCAACTGGAGGAAAGTCCCTGAGAAAAGTCTCTGAGAAGCGAAGGGAGTCAAAAAATTAGGCTCAGGCATAATGCCGGGAAATGGAGGAAAGACCGGTTAATCATGCTTTAGTAAGATATTAAATTAGTATTTATAATTTAAATAATATATAATCAGAATAGTAATAGTATCAGAGACAATTTTACTTGTTTAAAAATAAAATTAAATATTGTAGAGCAAATGTTATAAAAACTAAAAACATACTTTTTTTTATGAAGTGCTGATAATATATTGCAAAATCTAATTTGTGAAATGTTTACTCTATCCGATTTTATTTGTATGGAACATACATTGATGTTTCATTCGAAAGTTATATTATCTTCTCAATAAACCAATTATTAGAAAGAACCCCAATAATTGTCAAACTAATTAAACAAACATTAATATAATAGTAAGCTTGTTAATGTAGCCTTTTACTGTGAGAGATAATATTTAACTTTCATAGAATAACTTTTAAAAAAATTAGTCCATTACCATAAACTTGCAATGTTTGTGTTATTAAGGATAGATTTTTTACATTAAGATTTACAGTACTACTTTCCTTTACTGAAATGTTTATTATTTTCAATATTGACTTCAATAATCAACTGAACTTAAAAGTATTTTGATAAATTACTCAGCAACAATGTTTAGCTAAAATAAAGATGAATAAATTTTTGGGAAAATTTGTAATAGATAAATGTACATAGTAATTTAGACTAAGTTTTCATATTTTTTGTAAATTAAAATGTATTATGAATGATAAATATTTTTTTATAATATGGTTTATTTATTTGAAGGCCCATTAGATTATGTTTGGTGAGACATACAATTTTAATTTCCATACGTTAGACTATTTGGTTTTTTTTCTCAGATACATATATAGTACCTGGTGACCGAGCTTTGCTCGGAGAAAATCATTAGTAGGCTATACTCTAAGAGTAATCTTTGGTCAATGTCATATATCCAAAAAATATTGTTTTTTGCAGTATACAAAAGGTTTTTTTCAACCAATACACCCAAAAACAATAAATAGAAAAAGTAGTGAATGCATTTCCTTCATAACTAATACAAAATAAGAATTTTGGAGTAACTTTTAATAGGCATCTTTGTTTTACCTAGTTGCTAAAACATATAGGTATTTTGTTTAACTAACCTTAAAATAAAGGGAGTTGTTTTTCTTTTTCTAAAATTATTCTGAAGTGTTTTTAGTAGACGCCCGAGTTTAATCTTTCCCACACAATATACAGGCCCAAACTTAATTGGTTATTCATTGTTGACTAAGTGTACACAACAGTTAATGTTAGGCCAAAATCATTTGTCATTTAAGTAGGCCTTAGCTTAGCTAATTCAAATTCTCAGAAATAGGCTCCTAAACCATCTAAGCCATATTATTGTAAAAACTATATAAATAGACGTACATAATTTATTTTTTTAGCCTGTATATCAAGCGCACTGTGATTTCAATTTTTTAATAATCTTGTAGTGTTTTTAGCAGACTATCTCGTCACAGACAATATAATACTTTAATGTTTATTCCATTGTCTGTGATCTCGTTTTATCTTCTCTATTCTTCACCATGCCACATATGCCCAACATATCCCTAACTATTTCGTAATAATTTGTTATCAAAGTAATGAGAATAGAATCAGAATCAACGACAACCGACAAAAAAAGTAGTTCAGTGATAATATTATTAAAACAGTTTAAAGTACTGTATATATGTAAAAATTCAAATTATTTAACCAATATCACGTTAGTAAAAGTATTGATAATCAACAGTAATTAAAGCTGAGGATGATTTTAGAGTCGGTTGGTTTTTAATGGATTAGAAACTTATTACCCTGGAAAGTTTAGAATTATAATGTAAAAACTCTTATGCATAAAGCCATTTACTCCGGTCATTTACCATTTCTTACATAGGGCCTATAGTTGTTTTAACACATTAAAATAAAATTGCTTCTGGATTTTTAAAAGGTTGTACAACTAACTTTGAAAATAATTTATGAATTAGTTATTTTTTATCCAAACACAATACAAATGTAAATTTATTTAAGTGTTAATTGAAATTTTTTTCAACAAGTAAGTGTAAGAAATACGCAACAAAAAATGTATCTGTTTATTCAACATTTCTCCATATAAATATGGCTATATTTTTGTAAAGATGTCAAATTTAGGAATCTTTTTCTGGCAAAATTTTTTCTTATTACAGGGAAATAAAAAATAAAACTTATAATTAAAAACCTTTATTGAGCATCAAAGCGTAACAACATTAGTTTATATAAAAAATATAAATATTTATAAACAATTAATTCAAGCATTGTAGTTTAACAATTTAACTAGCACTTTTTTTGGTCTCGGTAGTTAAAATCTAATTTTTTGTAAACCATCCTTAAATAAATAGCAAAGAGAAAAACTAATTAATAATTGAACATGGTAAATAAATTATAGTAAAATAAATAAATAATAACAGTACAGTAATAATAATAGCATTATTAACTATTTTTTCTGGTTGGAAATTATAACATTGCCATACCTGTAAACAGTACGTAAAATAGCTCATTGTCGCTCTTGAGTGGGAATGGCTCATTATGCTCGAGAGTGCCGTTTCTAGGCAAACTACAGCCGTGGATTCGGTACATTAGTTATCAACCGGTAACCGTTAAGAAATAACATAAACAAAGCAAACATAACCTAAATGACATTTTATATTCATAAAAAATGAATTGTATTATGATTCAATATGTAAGAAAGATTTGTCGACACATTGTAATGTCACTTACCATATTAATATTTCAGCAACTAAGATGAGTTCCACAAAAATAAAAATAAACACTAAGACAATGCATCAATACCAACATCATAACAATATTTTAAAAACTTTCAGCTTAATTAACAATGATATAATAATACAAATAAATGCTCACTTGTGCATTACCATTACTCTCTATCACTCTACACCATAAGTTTGATTATAAATTGACATTAGGATATCCCATTGGCCTTGCAGTTATAAAGTCAATGACTAATTTTATTTAAAATAGTTAATTGCACATAGTAACAGTGTTCTGACTACATAAAAGCTAGATGTGGTAAAATATGCAAGTATGATTGTCAACATCAAATAAAGATGAAACTTAATACACGCTTTTTCTCTGCCTTAATAGTCTAAAGTCATCAACATTTCGTAGCCTGAACATGTTGCTCAATATTGTCACAACTTAAAAGTAAGAATCAATAATTTGCTAACCAAAAACAGTTTTCAATAAATATAACACATGGTACAGAAGACAGAAAAAATTATAGGCTAGTATACCAAAACTGCTACCGGAATTCATTTTTGTTTAGAATAAATTCTGTATTGCAGAAAATACTACTAATTTATTTTATAGTAATTTTACGATTAATTAATTTTGGACTTGTAAAATGGAAAAATCTTGATAACATTGGACTAAGCATACTTGATAAGTCTTTGACTCAGTCTAGGGCCTAGTAAAGTAGATAATAAAAGACTTAATATACAACAATAAAAAAGATAAACACTGTACCATACAGATATGCAAGTAACATAAATTATATATTCTTAAGGCTATTCCATTAGCAGTAAAATACTTAATGTAATCAAAAACACACTGGAATGAATTGGGTCCAAGTTGTCAAGAGTGGTGGTTTGTCTGTTGAGGAAGCAATATGTTGTGGCTGAGAGATATTTGGTTAACTATGGCATTGTGTTATCGGGACACAAGCCAGTATGTTCTAAAATCCTACTCCTACAAAAGAAAGCCCTTTGTATTATTGCCTCGGCCGATTATCTTGCCCACTGTATGCCTATTTTTCCAGCAACTAGGTATTTTCTGAGTTCCATACTTCGTCTGTCTATATTTAATTCTTTTTGTCCATTATACTACCTATGCGAATATGAGGAAATGCAGTTTTAGAAAATAATAAGAAACCTGACACAATTAATCTGGAATATGCAGTCATAGACGAAGACTTCAAGTGTTAAGTAAGTATAAAATTAATTCCCAAAGAATAATAATGCAAAAATCATTCAACAAGTCATCATTATACAATGTTATATCAGCATGTATAACACAATTTTATACATAAGAAAATATATTTGACCTAGAAGGCATTAACATTAAAACATTAAATTTGTATTTACTCAAAACTACCATAATGACTACCTAACAACACAATTAATTCCAAAAAGATGAATTCTTCTATATACAAAATTTAAAGAATAAGAACAAAATTAAAATATTACTTTCACACGCCTTATGATAAATCTTTTATAAATAGTCTTAGCTTAACATAAATTTATTGACAGAGTGTTTAAGTAGCCTACTCTAAAAAAACTTGGGATATAAAAAGCCTATTTAAGACTCATTACTCTTTTCATCCAGATAAGTATTGGTGACAGAAAGTCATCACTTTGCATGTATTTTCACTTAACAAACTACTTTATCATTTATTTTTTAAACGGAGGATAAATTTCCTTTAACATTTATTTTTAAATGTCTATCACATAACAAATAGGTACAAAACATTACCATTATTTGAAAATGCACATTCTTAAAAATTTCATTTATACATCAGTCTCATTTTAAACAGAAGAGGTTGAGATCAGGTATTTGACTTAATTCAGATTTCTAAAAGTTACTTAAAATAAAAACAAAAAGTGACCTCTTACGTTAGCCCAATTGTAATAAAAGTAAAATTCACTCAAAAAGCTGTATAAGCCCCACTTTTACAATTATAAAAGATTTCATGTTAGGTTCAAATAAAATCGCATAAATGGAATTTAAAAAAATTAATTAAAGATCTACTTTATTTTATAAAACAAGAATACTATTCATTCAAAATTTCAAATGTCAGAAACACGTTGTATTTTTGTATTATAATAGGCCACAAACACTTGTACATAAAAAAATTAAAATAATTGATAGAAATATTAAACTGACAAAATTACAATAGCCATAAGCCACTATTTCCATCCCCCTTTTCTATTTCACCACCAGCCTTAAATACTTTCATGATGGTTTCTTTTGGTAACTTTAAATAGTAGCTCAGAATTTAATTTTTTTTTTTGCCACAACCTGGTTTTAGTGTCAAGTTTTAGTCCACAATATACTAGAGAAGGGAAAATTCATGACGAAGATCGGTTAGTCAACACAATATTGTCTGTTAGCTATTAAAAAATATACTCTAAAACATTTTCATACAATTATCGAAGATAAAATGAATAGTTGGGATTCCGTGGTATAACTCTTAATTCTTACAAATATTTTTATTTTATTCAGTTTATTCTATCATCAATACCTGGGGACCAAGCCTTGCTTGGTTGTGGTTAATAAAACTGAATTGGCTTTAATAGTCTAAATAATATTATAAACAGAGACATTTAATGAAAAAAAAAAAAAACAGAAACTAGCCTGAAAACATTTTTTAATCGCTGAAATAATAACAACTTTAAAGTGAAAAAAAAAAAAACGGTAAACAAAAAAGGTAAACATAAATTGAATTATTTTACTATAAGTTAAAGAGCTACTCGTACAGCATTTTTCTCCCCTCTAGTTATTAAAACCCATTGTTTATTTTTCACGCTCACCGATGACAGTAGATAAAAATATAAAATAAACAAAATCATATTACTTTTGAAATGGCTCTCTTTAATTTTCATCATGCAACCCAATATCAAAAAATAACAAAAAAAAACTCTTTGATTTGACCTAATTGAAATATAGTAGAACTCCAACAATCTGAATCGCTTACAGAAAGAATTTTAAAAACCTGAAACTACAGTATAAAGAGTTATTATTGGAGAAGGTAAAGCTGTGGTCGCAGAAAAATCCTGAACATGACCAACAGTAGTATGGACATCATTGTCATCTCCCATGGTCACGAAAACATCATCATCATCTTCTGTGATAGCAACAAAATCCTGAAAGTCTCCCAGGGTGGTGTGGACATCATCATTGTCTCCTGCGATCACAGAAACATCATCATCATCTTCCATGATCGCTGCAAAACCTTGAATATCTCCCTCAGTCGTATAGAGATCATCATTGTCTCCGCAATTTTATCGTGAAATCATCACAGACGTTTTCTTCAATAGCAATAATTGAAATGGATAAAAGAAAGGACTTCTCTGCAAATAACAGACATGAAGGATATAATGAGCCTAGATATTGGTTCATGATGCGCACTATACTGTAGCAATGGCCTAGTTGTTGGTTGTTGATGTGCACTGAAGTAAAGGATATGCAGATGATTGCCCACAAGATGACTAGCAATGGCCACGCTGGGTGTCTGAAGGGGGAAGCAAAGGTGTTCTCTACAGATGACAGACATGAAGGATGTGTTACAAGCCTAGATGTTGGTTGATGATGTGCACTGAAGTAAAGGATATGCAGATGATTGCCCACAAGATGACTAGCAATGGCCACGCTGGGTGTCTGAAGGGGGAAGCGAAGGTGTTCTCTACAGATGACAGACATGAAGGATGTGTTACAAGCCTAGATGTTGGTTGATGATGTGCACTGAAGTAAAGGATATGCAGATGATTGCCCACAAGATGACTAGCAATGGCCACGCTGGGTGTCTGAAGGGGGAAGCGAAGGTGTTCTCTACAGATGACAGACATGAAGGATGTGTTACGAGTCTAGATGTTGGTTGATGATGTGCACTGAAGTAAAGGATATGCAGATGATTGCCCACAAGATGACTAGCAATGGCCACGCTGGGTGTCTGAAGGGGGAAGCAAAGGTGTTCTCTACAGATGACAGACATGAAGGATGTGTTACAAGCCTAGATGTTGGTTGATGATGTGCACTGAAGTAAAGGATATGCAGATGATTGCCCACAAGATGACTAGCAATGGCCACGCTGGGTGTCTGAAGGGGGAAGCGAAGGTGTTCTCTACAGATGACAGACATGAAGGATGTGTTACGAGCCTAGATGTTGTTTGATAATGTGCACTGAAGAAAAGGATATGCAGATGATTGCCCACAAGATGACTAGCAATGGCCACGCTGGGTGTCTGAAGGGGGAAGCGAAGGTGTTCTCTACAGATGACAGTTCTCTTGGAACACTACGTCGGGAAGACATAACAAGTGTGGCTGGGATAACATACTGGATACCAACTCCAGCATAAGCACCAGTTATTCCAACCTGAGGAGAAGTAAAAGAATCTCAGTAATCTAATTAATGTCCAAAACATGTTAAATAAACAGTTACTGAATAATGTCTTAAAATAAAAGCCGTCAAAGTTGAATTTTATTCATCAAAACCAAAAGCATAGAGTGAAACTTATATTAAACTTATATTAACTTATATAAATTCTTTTAGTCTTTTAAACTTTCTATTGTTAACATTAACCCATTGGAGACTTGGTATTGAGTTAGACCTTTAGAATCCAATAAAAAATTACTAATTACATTATTTCAGTAAAAAATCATAAACATTTGTTTTTTTTACTTAAATAGATAAAAGTTGCATGTAAATTAATCTAAATTAAATTTCCTATTGTAATAAACATGTTTAAAGTAAAAATAATAATAATAATAATTTTAAAAAATCTTACAAACAAATAAAAAATGTTTAAAACCTTTTTCAAAAACAACGTCAAAAAATGTAGTATAAATCATTTAATAATAGTTATTTGTGCAACTAGTGAGCAATTGCACTTTGCACTCGAGTTGAACATTATTTTTTTCCTACAGTTACCATAAAAAAAAATAAATTGGTAAAGAAACGTGACATATTTTTACACAGAAGTGAACTTTTAATATGACATTTAATGATACAACAGTACAACAGCTGACCAGCTGATTTACAGCCAGTGCTGCCAACGTATTTCGCGCGCATACGACTTTGTCTGCATGTAACGCGCTCACTATTTCGTGCCTTCACGTTGCAAATCTGGAGTGAGTGAGACAAAGTAATTAGAGTGAGACAATGATAACATTGACCACTTTGCTTTCTCAAATCAGTGAGAGAACATGTACATTGTTAGGTAACTGTAGGAAAAACTATTTCTTGCTTTTATTCCTTTCTTTTATTTAATTCCCTACATAAAAGTTTTTAATTTATAATTACATCTACAATAGTCTATGATTTACAGCTATTTATGTAAAACACTGCCTAACCTCTCATCACCATTGTTGTTGTCCGATAGGCCTACGCCGCCCGATTCGCTGTCACTATCACTGTCATTTTCCCACAAAAGTCTGTCAATCTACTCAATCTCACTCGACAATATGCGATAGAATTAGTTTGTATGCCCCCCATTTATAAAACATAATAATAAACCCGTAGGCCTAACTAAGTTATAATGACCTATCACCACTGAAAGTATGAACACAAACAATCACAAACGTCTGAACATCAAGAACGTAAAGAATCACAAAACATCTGTTGCACAATATTAAAAACCGTACAAATGAAAATAATATCCATTGTCAATGTCTAATATTACAGAGAGAATAATAAAACTATTATATTATAAAACTGTAGACTTAACAAATGTAACAAATAAAACACGACAGATGTTACATAGTATAATACCTTTGATTCCATATACATACAGTAAAACAACTTTTAAAGACGTAATATTTGTACACTTTTTGTTACTTGTTTCCTACTTATTACTTTTAGTTTATTACTTATACCACTTATTATTATAAGTATATTATTTTTAATACTTTTAACTCTTTAGAAATATTTCAATACATACATATTAGTAACTACGCAACAATTAATTATTTTAAAAATCAATAATAATGCTATGTCATCATCACCGAAGGGTTCCGTGATAAGGTTTCTGGGAATATTCAGCCGATCACGGAACCATTCCGAGATAAGTCTCCAGTGAGTTAAGGCCCAAATAATATCCCCCCTTCAATTTATATAACCAATTTCAATATCAAGGCAATCCAACCGCAATACGCATTTACATATATAAATTCAAACACACTTACTATACACAGTTACATTGAGGATGGAAGTGAAAAGAAGAAGTAAAATTGTTTTGACCATATGAGAAGAAACTGGTTCCAGTTACAACAATTGCATAATGAAGCAATTAAATACTCTAAGTAAGTTCAAACTAAATATTTATATATTTTAACAAAACATCATCTACAAACATAGCTTAAAAAAGGTAACATATCTTAAAAGAAAAGATTTATAATAAGTAAAGTCTCACTAAGTGACAAAAAGTGACTTAAAAATAAATTTTTAATGTTAAAAATTTGGATGTTTGGACAGACTGACTTTAAATTCAATATGTGTAACTATTGAGTTTCAATTGAAGTCACTTATTCATTCAACTAGGCGAATTACACGTCCTTCAGCACATGATAAACAAATTAGAGGCTTATCGTAATACATGGAACCTTAACGTTAATTTACAGAAATCTAAAATTATGATATTCACGAATGGTGAAAAGATTAAAAAAGAGGACAAGTGGTGGTACAAGAGTAAAAGATTGAAATAGTAAATCAGTACAAATATTTAGGAACCAATTTGACAAGCTCGCTATCATGGACCTCGCAATCCAAAGATAAATGTAAAATCTGTAAATTTGCTTAAAATTCAATTTGGGACAGGCTGATAATAAATAAAAATGTGCCAATATCTTCCAATACTATTTGCTTTGAGCCGATAGTTAAGGCTATAATTTTTTACTGGGCGCAAGTGTGGGGTTATTATAAATAGTTATCTTGTCGAGTCCGTACTATTGTAATACTTCTAATTATGTACTACTAGCAGAGTACCCATCCTTCGTATGGGGTTGAGGTATAAGTTGTGCCTTGCTTTTAAAATACGATTAAGTACCAAAAAGACACTTTCGCGCCTTGTGGTGAAAACTACTATTTCCATACTTTAAGAAAAAATATTCATTATATAGTAAGAGTGTTATCTTTGCCTAATAATAGATTACCTAGACTATTAGCAAAACATTGTTCAGTATAAGTGTATAACGGCTAAATAGTAGAATAAGATATTTTATTTAGCATAGTGACGAAAGTTGTCCTGAAAAGCTGGTGTACCAGAGAAACGCTTAATAAAGACATTTTTATTTATTTATTTATAAACAGATGATTGAAAAGCACATATTTCGGTGCATAAATTGGTTATATAAATTGAAGGGGTAGATATTATGAGTGTAATAGAATATTATCAAGATCTAAACGGGAAGAATTGGCATGTCTTTAAAAACTACCATGGGGAAGCCTGGAAGTATAGATGGGAACGTATAAGTGAGAAAACGTCTAAATTTGTAGTAAATCAAACTAAAATAAAATCTTGAAACTCATTTACTTTTTATCTGATATCCTTAATTATGTAATATGTTTTGTTGTCTCTGTCTGTTAAAAGTACTAAAATTGTGTTTAATTATTCTTTTATTTATTGTATAGGAACATTTTAATTTCTTTTTGTGCTGAATGTTGTTAAATATTCATACTTTATTTTGGAAGGCAAAACTTGTGACATTCAAAGGGACAGTTATTATCAACCATTTTGTATTAAGTGTTATGTTTTTGCATGTACATATTTACCTTATTTTTCAATAAAGCACTTTTTCATTTCATTTCATTTTATTCATTCAACTTGGGTGTCCGTAAGTGCTATGAGAGCTGAGCGTAGCCTACAAGCTTGAGACACCGAGCCAAGCTGTTAAGATTGCAGGGCGCGTCTGGTAAGAACGGGCATTCAACAAATTCTAGCTTTTGTCATGATTGCAGATGACGAAAATAATCGGGGAAGACCATGATGATGTTTACACAATTGTTTGTGACAGATTAACTTATTACAGTATGTAACATTACGTAAAATTCATGATATGAAAAGCTTTACTCAGGCTCAGCTCAACCAAAAATCACAGGCTCGCATAACTCTAGTATCCTTTCTTCGAGTATTTTTATTATCAGCAATGTGCACAACATAATAAAACTGAAATCAGCAAATCTTAAAAAATAGTTAATACCTTTTCAATAATACTTTTTTTAGATTTTTTATTTGTATGTGTAGTATGTTGTAGCTCATGGGCATGTTTCACATTTTTTTTATTGAACGGTTTCAGCTTTGATCTTGTTACTATCTAGTGTAAATAATAAAATCAACAATTACCGGTATTCTCCCAATGAAAAACGTTATCTAGGTTTTAAATTGACCTCATTTGGGATCGTACCAGCTACCAGCAACCCTCAGGCATGGATTGGCTTTGAGTTTCAATTCTTCCTGTGAGTCTTCAACGAACTGAGGTCTTGTGTCAAGGTAGACTCTGTCCTGATCAACTAATATAGATAATCTAATACAAATCACAAAACTATACAAATAAACAAATTTTTAAAGTAAAACTTTTAAAGATATGTATTGGTTAAATATGTATGGTTGGATATGTATTGGTAAAGTGAAAGTCGGAGTTCACTAGCAGTATAAAAAAAATACATTACCAAAAACTGCAGGTTTGGGAGGAACACGGCCAACAAAACAGGAGGTACGACAGCAGCCAGTGGGAGGATAACTAGCCTCAGTAGCTTGGATCTGCTGGGTGACACCACTGACTGAAATGTCATATCACTTGTAATCTAAACTTAACAAATCATGTCAAACCATATAATTTCAAGCAAGGTATGTTCTGTGTCAAGCTTACAAAACGTATATGGCAATGGTGGTGGGTAAACTGATCTCCTGTTGAATCCAAGAATAACAGTTACAATGTAAAAAGAAAATTAAATAACTCAACTTAAATGGAACACGATTGTCTGAAGCAAACCAGTTGTTTCAAATGTAGCAACAGCAAACAAATCTGTTAATCCTTAAATCTTCATATGGTTTTAAGGTAATCCATAAAGATTGTCAATTAATCCATACTTTAATTCTATGGTTGAATCTAGCATCAACTTATGGTAAAATATGTAAGATATGAACAAACTTTGACATGTTATGCAGCATGTCAAAATAAACTAAAAAATGTAATGTATCATGTGTCCTATCTTATTCCGTTTTCGGTCTTTCTGTCTGTATGTGATTTTTACAAAAACATGCATAACTCCTTTGAATTGTTTGAGCTACAGCGTTGAAATCCTGTAAAAATGTTCATCTTATTGACCACTATGTTTATGCAAAATATGAACAAAAACTCTTAAATCATTTAAAAATGGCGGCTTAAAAAATATTTGATACCAAATTCCATAAAACCGTTAATTTTATAAAATATTTGCAAGAGATGTAAAATCTAATAAATTTTATACAGATTATAACAATATTTTGAAAGCTTAGTTTAGACAAATACTTTAATATTTTTCAATGAAATGGCGACCATACAAAGTAGATATTTTAAGCCAAGTATGGATGGAGATGAGTGTAAGATGAGTGGCGCGATCTTATAGTTTTGTTAGTGACTAAGGCCGACATTCCTTAGACATGTAGTATATTTGAAGATTTTATGTATTCAATATTATATTTGTAAAACAGCGTTTCTTGTAGGAAACCAGATTTGTATAAAATGTAAATGTGTGTTAGTGTGTGTGTACATCACGCCACGTCTGTGACGTCATATCAGGTGATTTTTAATAAATTCCCATTGGCTGCCGCGACCACGCTATACCCGTGTATCTAACCACTACGTCAGTCCGTTCTAGTCCTGCAACCGTACACCTTTATCCCGGTCCGTGCAGCCCGTGGTATTAACTAATTATGTAGTTTTTATTCTCACTAGTCCTGTCTCCTGTCAAGTTAAGACGTCGTCACACTGGCGACGTCACACTGGCGACGAGGAAGTTACAGTGATAACAATGGCGTTATTAAGAACCTAATTATTCGTGTGTGCGGTGTAACTGTTCGACCGTATTTTTATAAGTATTAGGGTTAATGTCCGATTACGACAACCCAGTGTTAATTTTATCTCGTGTCTTCTTTGAACAAGATACAATGTCTGGAATCATCGTCGGAATCGGAGACTTTGACGAGAGTGAAGAATCTTGGACCTCGTACGTTGAAAGGTTTGAGTTATTTGTCGAGTGTAACGGGATTAGTGATGCCAAAAAGTTAGTACTTTATTGACAGTAGTCGGGAAGAAAACGTACAATCTGTTACGCGATTTGTGCACGCCCGATAAACCAAACGCGAAATCTTTTGAAGATATAGTGAAGTTAATTCAGGATCATTTACATCCTAAACCATCATTCATCGCGGAACGTTACAATTTTAGTAAACGCAACCAATTAGAGGGGGAAGGAGTTGCCGAATACGTCGCAAATTTGAAGAAGATGTCCACGCACTGCGAGTTCGGCGCATCGTTGAACGACTTTCTTCGAGATCGTCTAGTTAGTGGAATAAGAAGTGACACTATCAAACAGAAACCGTTATCAGAGTCCAGTTTAACGTTTGCTCAAGCTGTGAAAATCGTCTCATCAGCGGAAGCGGCGGAGAAGAATGCAGCGGCACAACGACGACGAGATTCAGGGAGCAGCGGCGGCGGCCAGCAGCACAATCAAACGTCAAAATCAGCACCTCGACCTCAAAACAAATCAGTGCAGTGTTTCTGTTGTGGTGGCTTCGGTCACATGAGAAATGAGTGTAGATTATTGGGTGTTGTGGTATGTCATTTTTGTGGAAAAAAGAATCATTTAGCTAAAGTGTGCAGATCAAAGCTGTTAGGTAAGTAAAACAAAAATTATACTTTTAAGAATGATAAGAACAATTTTAAAACTGAAAGGACTAATGGACAGTTTAGTAAAAACAACAAAATCCATAACTTTGTTTCTGACAGGAAATCTCAGATAAATTCTAATGATAGTTGTGATGAGTATGTTGACGATATTTCTACACTATTTCAAATTGAGGACGAAATTGAGGTAGATAGGCCTAATAATAGTAATGTCAACGTTAAGGTAGCTCCACTTAAAATTGATGCTATTGTAGAAGGTAAAAAAGTCACGTTTGAAGTTGACACTGGAGCTAGTGTCAGTGTTTGTAGTGAGGATTTTTACAACAAAAATCTGTCATTTTGTAAATTACATCCTAATGATCTATCCTTAAGTTCGTATGCTAACGAACCTATTGTCCCTATTGGTAAAATAAAAGTGAATGTTAGTTACCAGGATTTCAAGGATAACCTAGATCTGTATGTGATTAAAAAAGGCGCACATCCATTAATGAGGCGTAATTGGCTTCAAGTATTAGGGGTAAATATATCGTTCAAAACCAATTTGTTGAGTGACAAAAATTTTAAGTTGTTATCACACAATGAGCAGTTTGACAAAATGGTAGTTGAGTTGGAAAAAGAGTTTCCAAAAGTTTTCAGTGACAAGTTAGGTCAATATAAGGGAGATCCTGTAGAGCTCAAGTTAAAAGAGAATGCTACTCCTAAGTATTTCAAACCTAGACCGATACATTTTTCGTTGAAAAGTAAAGTAGAGGCAGAGTTAGAAAGATTACAAACTGAGGAAGTTTTAGTACCTGTAAGTAGCTCATCTAGGGGGACGCCTATCGTCCCAGTTTTAAAGAAAAGTGGGGAAATTAGAATCTGTGGGGATTTTAAAGTAACTTTAAATCCATTCCTAGAAGTGGAAAAATATCCTCTACCTAGAATCGAGGAGCTTTTTGCTAATTTACAAGGTGGACAAACCTTTAGTAAAATTGATCTCAGCCAAGCTTACATGCAACTTAAATTAAATGACGAGTCAAAGAAATGATGCACTATCAGTACTTATAAAGGGCTATTTTCCTATCAGAGAATGCCATATGGCATCTCATCAGCTCCTGGCATTTTTCAAAAGGTCATTGAACAGACACTCCAAGGGTTGGAAGGTGTGGCAGTATTCTTGGATGATATTTTGATTACAGCTAAAGATACTAACACTCATTTGAGTAGCTTTTGGGAAGTTCTTACACGGCTAAATGATAAGGGGTTTACCATCAAAAAGAGTAAATGCAAGTTCTTTTCAGACAAATTAGAGTATTTGGGATTTTGTATCGACAAGGAAGGTCTCCACACCTCCCAAGCCAAGGTTGAAGCAATAGTAAAAGCACCTGTACCTAAGAACGTAACTGAAGTAAAAGCTTTTATTGGTTTAGTAAACTACTACGGAAAATTCATTCCTAACATGCCTACCATTCTGAGTCCTGTATATAATTTGCTTAAGAAAGATGGTCCATTTAATTTCAATGCTGAATGTATGCAATCTTTCAACAAGGTTAAAGAATTATTGACAAATGCCCCTACTCTTGCTCATTATGACTCAAGTTTGCCTGTAATATTAGCAACTGGCGCAAGTTCAACAGGGCTAGGTTGTGTGTTAAGTATCAAAACAAGTGAAGGAGTAGAGAAACCTGTTGCATATTTTTCACGTACTTTGTCACCCACTGAAGTTAAGTATAGTCAGGTAGAAAAAGAAGCTCTGGCCATTGTTTTCGGTGTTAAAAAGTGTAACCAGTACTTGTATGGTAGAAGGTTTACCTTATGTACAGATCATAAACCATTAATAAGTATTTTTGGCCCTAAGAAGGGGTTGCCAGTTTTTGCAGCTAGTAGGCTACAAAGATACGCTTTGTTTTTGTCAGGCTACATTTTTGACATCAAATATGTTAAGTGAGCAAGTCATTGTAACGCAGACGCTCTGTCACGATTACCAATACAAGTCCCACATCCGATTGAAAGTAATGATTTCCAATGGCAAGGCACATATTTAAATTGTATTTTTGAAAGCTCAGTGCCACTAACCTTTGAACACGTTAAAGTCAAAACGCAAAAAGACCCTATTTTACACAAAGTGTGTAGCTATGTCCTGCATGGTTGGCCTAGTTTTTTGCCGGAAGAGAGAGGTGATATGTTACCTTATTTCCAAAGGAAGGAAGAATTGACTGTAGAGATGGGCATTTTAATGTGGGGGTAGAAAGTTGTGGTTCCTAATTCTATGAGGGATTATGTTTTAAAAGAGTTACATTGTAGTCATATGGGAATCGTAAAAATGAAGTCAGTGGCAAGGTCGTATATTTGGTGGCCAAATATAGACCAAAACATAGAAGCCTTAGCAAACAGCTGTTCTTCCTGCCTTATGGAACGTTATAACCCAACTAAAAGTTTCTTGCATAATTGGCACTATCCATCTAAGCCTTGGGAAAGATTACATCTGGACTATTTTGGACCAATAAGAGGCAAAATGTTTTTAATTGTAGTAGATGCTCATACTAAGTGGCTGGAGGCTTTTGAAGTAGGTTCCACCTCAGCCAAACAACCAATTGTACATTTAAGAGATTTGTTTGCTAGATTTGGTTTGCCAGTAACTTGTCACAGTGAGGTCCACCATTCACATCACTTGAGTTTAAACAATTCCTAAAGTCAAATGGAGTAATACAAACATTCTCACCTCCCTATCATGCCCAATCAAACGGCCAAGCCGAGAACTCAGTAAGATATGCTAAAACTAAGCTTAAATGTGCACTAAATGATAACACTGATTTTAATGTTGCTCTAAGTCGTATATTGTTTGACTATAGAAACTCCGTGCATGCTGTTACCAATGAGACTCCAGCTATGCTGATGTTTAAACATCCCCTA